CAAAAAAAAAAATCAGACTCACCAATCTAATTTGATTGAGAAGCTTTCCAGTCAATATGTCTATTTCTTGTAAATGGATGCTGATGGAGCCCAATGCAACTTCAAATTGCGAAAAATCAATCGGCTGACTGAATCGATATCTGAATTGATTCGTCGACACCTGTACAGTAACATTGATGTACTTATAACTGCATTCACGCTCATCAAGAAGGTCAATATTGGTTACTGTGGGAGTCTGCCCATGGAATAGCGTCTCCAAGAAGACTCCGACGGCCCTGCATACACCAGTAGACGTAGTTTGAAGTGAATCTCCTCACTGGAAACTACAGCTGTGCCCACGAGCTTTACCGTCTTGCTGGAAACTACACCCGACGGCATCTACATGCTCGGAGCTATGGCCGGCGTCATGGGCTACCCACCTTGGCCTGAGCTTTGCCCGGCGTCGCGTCGGCGGCCTTGCACCAGCATGAGCATCTCCACCTTGGCAAATGGGTCTGTACGATGTCATCTCCGTGGTTTTAGTTAGTGCTGCGTGCGGTGTCGTGTCCACGCTTTCACCACCCTGTAGTACCGCAGTCCCAGAGCTCGTGGACATGACGCCGGACACAACTCTAGCCCTAGACACTGTGATCCTTGTAATTCTCTAGCAGCACGACCTTCGCCTTCCTGTCCGTAGTGTAGCGCCGCGTTCCTTGAGCCATGGACGGCGATTTCTGTTGTGCTAAAATGCGTTTACATCCTTGCCTTGGTTTTACTATGGCGATTTGCACCCCTGCGTTTGCACCCCTAACTTAATTTTACTATGCTGGGGCTGACTTGCTATTTGTATGCAGCAGTTGCAAAAGTCAGCCGTCCATGCAACGGTGCTTGCAACGAAGGTTGCCTTGTGCCTTTCTCAAACTTTGGCCAATCGGACCTCAAAAGGTAGGTTATAAGAAGCGGAGGAGAGGGTTCTATCTAGGATTTGCTGTGGTGGTTGATATGATTTAAATCATTGACATCTGTAGCCTCAAGGCATACGTAAGAGCTCCGATCTTATGTAAGAGGGCCGATTTAGAAATAAGATCCGAATGGCCATAAATTCGTGGCCATTTCCTCCTGCGTACGTCCTTCGCTGGAGGACGACAAGAGAGGATGCACAAATAATTAGAACTAGCTTTGAAACCACAGTCGATATTCATAACGCGATGTATAGCTAACTTGGAAGCACTCTGCATCGAAGGTAACTACAGCATGAGATGCTATGGAAGTAGAGGTAGAGAGCTGTGTGGGTATCTCTTCAGTATTAAGCATGGAAGTCTAAATACGGTGCTTTAACGCTGACAGTAGCGTAATGCTACTATCATTTGTCACATCTCTGCCGTTCTATGTTACAGACGAGCCTTTTACTCGCCCCCAGGGTAGGTTTTACGGGGCCCCTACGTAGGGGCAAAGGTCTTACGTAGGACCATAAATCGGAGGGCGTTTTGGTAGAAAGGCTATCATGTCTGTGAAGTTAAGCAATAAACGGCACCCCAATTTAATGCGTGGTACCAGCCTCAAATCCGGTAAATACGGACCATCTAGCCAATCAAACCCGTAAATCCCAGAAATACAACTTCGGCTGCAAATGCCGATAACGTATTTGTATTTGCAAAACTTTAACATGGACAGTAGCTTTAGTTTGATGCTACACTATTCAAAAACATTATATTGAGAACATAATATTGTTTTTTATGCTTTATTGCTAAAGCAATTGGACGCCACCCAAAACTGCTATAAAGGCCAATATGTCAAGGTCTTCGAGAGTTG